GTTGCACATTTGCCCCATGGCAGCTGCCAATCATATCTCTGCCACCTTCTAGTGGAAAAGTTTACAATCAGATCATCTCCATAGTATAACATTGGTTGCTGTAGTATAAAGCATAGCAGTGACTAGCAATTATGACTTTTTTCGTCAAATCTACACACCTTACTATGGTACCTTCAGCTAGCTGGAAATATAACACTTAAAAAAATTTCAACAAAATTTTGATTGTTTAATAGAACCCAAGATCTTAGAAAATACTCTTAAAAACTGTATCTAAACGGTCCAAACTATATTTTTTTACAACAAATGTTGGGATGAGAGATTTGAATATTTAACCTCAAGAAAAAGAGTAGATGTATTAAACATTGAAGTAGTTGACGTTGACTTTAGAAACTACTCTAATAATGGACACAAGATGTGTTACGAGTGAACTTCTTAGGAACATGTTTAGTTGGAATCATTCCCATTTGAAATAGTTGTCTGGCAAGCTTTGCCTAAAAAGCAGGATGGACAGAATATTCCTAACATTAGAAAAATGCTCCATCAGTAGATTTAAGAGAGTCCAGCGTGATGGCAACTGCCCAAATTAAAATGTTCATTATCTTTATGCCCTTGCAGCAAAGTCACCATCACTATAACTGCAAGAGTGTCCGACCGAAACATCTCCACTCAAAACCTATCATTCAGACAATGCCTTAGCATAAACAAAAAGGCTGAACGATGGACTTCCATCATTTTTTTTATATAAGAAATTCCCAACCAGAATATGAACACTAGAATATCATGAAACTATACATCAATTCATCTTTCATTTTTATGATCAACGGTTTCATCTGTCAGAATTCTAAACAGCCTCCATAAACTCATCAGGAATACAAATGTCCCCGAGAAAATTCAGGTGATTACTTGGTTACAATCAAGGTTACAAAGAAACCTTTAGTGATACAGGTGCCTGCTTGGTCCCTTCGCAATATAAAACTACATATCTTCAACCTCAACTAAAACCATAAATGATTTCCAACGCCTGCCATGTTATTTATGGTGTTTACAAAATTCAAGTAAAGACATTGAGTACTTATATAATACACTCCTTTTGCCTCTTTGGTTTCTATTTCAGAAAACAAAATCCTCTGCCTTCATTCACTGAAGACTATACAAACTTCCAATTGCTCAAAGTGTGTTTCTAAGAGATTTCAAGACTTATTCCTTCTACTATCTTAAGCGCACCCAAGATTTAATATCTTATGAGTTGCCTAGGAAACCAAAGATATTTGTCCCATGAGAATACTTGAGGTGCGCACAAGCCAGCCAAGAACTCACAAATTTTTTTTTGTTTTTTTTTTATGAGAGACAATTTGATTGATGAGTGAAATTTACAAGAGGGATGTATAATCCAAGAAAAGGACAGAAAATCTCTAGTCTATTAATGACTATTTTGTTGGAGATTAGATAGAAAAATCATAGAATTCTTTGACAATGGAAGATTTGGGGTTTAAATTGGTCCGATTTCTCTAATTGAGGAGTTGCGTAAAATCCAATAACCTTGATTCAAGTCCATTGGAGTCTTTTTGATCTATCTCTCTTGCTTTTTTTGGGAGGATAATTGTTCATCTTGTCTCCTTTATCTGCTGTTTGAGTTAATACAATGTTTTCTATCCATAAAAAAAGTGTATTTACTCGGCACTTTAGAGTTCCAATAAGAGGTTGATAAGTAGGAATGCACGAATTATAAAATATCTAGAAATTCCTGGAGATCATTTCTTTATGGCAAATCAGGATCCACTAACATCCTATAAGAAAGTTTCCCCTATAACTATCAGTCTATATGACAGACAAAGCATGAAAGAAGAAACTAGTTTGCCCTGTTAACGCCCCCAATCAGCATGTTTTTAAAAGAGACTGTCTAACACGACATAAATACCCGTTATTTATTTGAATTTCATAAACCTAAAACAAAATAAATTAATTGACAACTATTTATAACCAACAAATATGAACAAACGCCACTCTCTTAATACTCCCTGTCAATAGGATGGTAGTAGTAAAATAATTCAAGAACTAATCTTCCTAAGAAGTCAGAAAGCATAATTGTGTATGTGTGGGAGAGAAAGATGGAGCGGGGAGGGGAGAGAGAGAGAGCAGCCAGGAACATAAAATCAAACCTCGAGAGTAGTAGAAAAAAATTGTTCACTGATTTCAGATTTCGACCAACTTCTAAAATATTCTATACAAATGACATTAACAGATAAACCATAAACATGCTTTTCTGCTAGAAAGAATAAAAATAATCTACCCATTACAACAGCATACAGAAGTCAATAAGAAAAACATGATCCAAAATCTGACGACCATAGTAGCCACGTAGAATGTGCTTCTGATGCATTATCCAAACAGAAAAGGAGTATGGTAGAAATAATGGGGACAATAAACATACCATGGCTGCAACGAAGACAGGCTCCATACTTGACTTTGCATATGTTACATACTAACTTTTTCCGGGTTTCTTTTATGCCTCCCAGATTCATAAGAGGCTCCATCTGCGTCAAGTCCTCTATATATACCTCTGGCATCCACTGACTACAAAATAAATGAGAAAATTCAACAGAAACTCCACTGTCAACGTTTTTGTGTACAGGTTTCAGAGCACCACCCTGCCTGGGACAGAGCAAACAGGGTTTCGTGGATTCATTAATTTCATCCCTCTGCTTACACCAAGAACACAACCAGGGTCCATTGACTTTCTCTCTAATTCCATAGCACTTCTTGTGAACCACCACATGACAACGACTGCAAGTAACTAACGGGTTTAACCCTTTGGTAGTACCGCCCTTGGAGCAAAAGTGGCATAAAGATGAGTTTCCATCGCAAGAAGAAGCAACCAGAACTTTTTCCAACCCTGCGTCACCACCTAGAAGCTTCCGCTTCTTCGAAGGCCTCTCCGAAGTTAGAGACACCTTATTCCTACAGCCTAAAAGCCATTCTAAGCCGCAAGAAGAATCGAAATTCGAACAACCCTTGTCCTCCAGAAGTGAGCCACTGGCTTCAACCATGCCCACATCCGGACACAACCGATCATCCTCAACCTCGTCTTTAACAATGGCCCCATCCGTATTCTCGCCACTAACATTCTCACTGCCACCTACATTTGCTTCTGGGACATTTCCTGACGAGGGAATTGAAAAACATTTCCTAGACACTAACCCGCTAAAGGAAGACGCTGCACGCAAAGTGTCTACATCAGACAGCGTCAAGTCTCTAAAATATTCCTCTGTCTCAACCCAAATGTTGGAGCCACGCGACCTTTCACCTTGTCTAGAAGACTTCTTGTCTGCCCCAGAATTGGATTTCCTCTGCCGTTTCTTACCGCCCGTATGTCTACTCAAGAAGTTACCCAACCTACTGGGCAAAGTAGACACACAAGGAGCTGAAGTCTCTTCCGCTACATCGAATGGCGAACGCTCACATAAAGCCTTTTGAGCCTGCGCGTAATAATCAATATCCACAGTACACAACTTCTCCTCATGTGTTTGAGTTTGGGCCAACGTTATTCTGTTCGGCACTCGTGCCACTAAACAAGGCCTCTCCTCAGTACCACAACCTCCATCCGCACCCCTACCCATCATCTTCTTTCCCAGGCGACATCGGTCTCTAGTCATCACCAACAATAACCAGAACTCAACCCATCCGTGGCGCGTCCCATAGTCAAAGCCCCATATTCGACTCTATCCAAATACCAACACTCCCATACACATACGCTTTTCTGATCCAAGCCCTCGCATGCACAAACTACGTAGATTAAACGAAGAAAAAAACAAACCCTAACCCTAACCCTAATCCTGAAATCCTGGTCCAACTCTTCGGTTACAAAGGTAGAGATGAGGAAAGGATGAGCTGAAAACCAGAATTGGGGTCTGAAATTAGTATGGTTCTTGTTGTATTCGGATCCCTTTTTCTTGTGAAATGATTTAATTTTGTTCGCAGTTCGATTTCGCTTTCGATTGGGATGAGAGAGAAGAGAAGAGATGAGAAGAGAGAGAATCGCGTTATTTGCAGGCAGTGAAAGGCAGTTGGTTTCTAGAAGATATTTTTATTAGGTTGCCAGTGAGGGTGTATGATTATCCACGTGTCATACACCCATTGGCTTAACTCCGCGTAATTGCTTTATCGGATCTATGCCTTGCCTAATTTTTTTTTTTTTTCCACAGATTTTCTTTATTTGTAATTCTTCCCAATTTTATGCTTTTTTTTCTTTTTCTTTTTCAAGATTCTCTCTTTTCTTTCACATATCAATCATTTTCATGTTACATTTTCAGAAAAAAATAATAATAATTAATTTAAAATTAACCAATATATTACATAGATTTTATATTCTATTTCTAATTAAAAATTTTAAAAAAATATATTGAATAAGTAATAATTTGTTAAATACAAAATTTAAAATTAAAATACAAAATAAGTAATAATTTATTAAATATGTGTTTAAAAATTAAATAATTTTTAAAAAATATGTAAATTAATGGACGAAATTTTGTAATTTAATTATATATATATATATAGAAAAATGCGGAGAATAATATCAGAACTTCAACTGAAGATCGATGGGAGCTGTGCTGTCATTCAGTTCATATTAGCTTTTCCAAATCGTCCCGTCTCAAATCTCTAGCGCAAGGAGAAGGCAAAAGAAAGGAGCCACAAATGGATTTGGCGGAGCTGTGGTCAATTTTCGGCCCTGGCGTCGCCGGAGCTGTGTTTGGTGCCGGATGGTGGTTCTGGGTTGACGCCGTTGTCTGCAGTTCTGTTGCAGTTTCCTTCGTCCACTACCTCCCAGGTTCTTTATTCTCGCCTCGCGCTTTATTCATTTGCGAGTTCGTTAGGGTTTTTGACGGTGGTTTGGTATTGGGGTTGTAGGTATTTTTGCTTCTATTGCGGCTTTGATGTTCAATTGCGTTCGCAGAGAAGACATCGATTATTCTCCATATGAGGAGGGCGAATGGAGGTGAGAAGTTTTTGTCTTATCTACTAATCATGTTATGACCCTCTTTGTCTGATCATTCGTCTCGATTGAAAGCAATGTCACTGTGTTCTTCTTCGATGAGTTGATGTGGGTTGTGATTTAGTACCTTGTTAGGATTATTCTCCCTGGATGTGTTAGGATCTTATGAACTCGTCTCATACACCTGGGTCTTAATTCGTGATTTGCAATTTAGAATATCGGATGCACTTCGATTCAAACCTTGCGTGTTTGCAATAGAAGTTGGGGTAGGGCTTGGTTGGAGCACTCATCAGGAACTTTGAACCTGTGCAATTGAATATTATAAGCTTGGATAAGATGAAAAATCAAACAGGAAACACAAGTTAAACATTGTGTCAATGGCCGTGTTTTGTAAGAGCAATTTAGAGATGCAATTTCTGCACCGAGACTTCTCTCTTTTTTTTTTTCTTTTTTCTTGCGAGCAACATTTATACTGTACTGAATATTAATTGGACATCCCATCAATCAATTCTCTTCTACCCTTTTTGATCCATCTCTCCAATTTAGTGGGTTGAGTAGAGAAGGAACTAAGGGGCAAGAGTGAGGTTGTTCAGGAAGTACGTAAATGCGTGCCTAGTGATAGGAGAGTTGGTGGTGAAGAGCATGCATGTGCATAACTATCAGGAACGGAAACACAGAACGTAACTTCCTGATAGAATGGTCCAAGTGATAGTAAACATTAGCGAAGAGCCATCGAAAGTGTGATGTATTAGAGATTGTGATGCTCAATAGCTAAGATAGAAGAGTCGCTACTCATCTTGATTTTGTATGGAAATAAAAATTTTGTTACTTGAAAATCTCTTTTTAACATTTATCATTCCTCCCAAACATCATATCTTATAGGATTGCTATCTCAGGATTAAGATGCATTTGACGAGATACACGACCTAAAGAGATTTATAGATCAATCTAGTGGTTGGGGAAGAGGAAGCTTCACTCACTAAACTACAAAAGGTGATCCTTCAATTGGAGAATAATCATTAAAATACAAGAATTATGAAATAGTTTTTTGTGGTTTGATCACTGTCTAGAGGTAGTATGCTGTATACGATATTTCAAAGGGTATCCTTCGGAGCGGACGTATCTTAAAAGAAAATTCATTGACTTGTCTTTTTCCAAATAGACCAAAGAAGATCTTTAACTGCACAATTCTAAAGATCCTTTGCCTGCCTTTAAAAAGCCATGCCCGCAAGAATTTTCATCAAGTATAGGCCCATCTGTCTAGGAAGACAAACTGAATACAAATTCTAGCAAAAGAAAAGACCAGCCGATTATCTATCAAAGCCCGATTGTTCATCAAAATGAAAAAAGAAAAAAAAGAAAAAGAAGAAGACTGACCAGCCGACAAGAGAAAAAGAACAATAGGGGAAGAAAGGAGTAACAAAAGGATGATGAAACGAGAAAAAGTTGACTTAGACCAGAACGGGCCCTTCAATTTTTGCTAGTTTTAGAAGGAATTAGCAGGTGCCTGTTTTAGAAACTGTTCTCTTTTTCCAGGCAGCAGAAGCCAGAGTTTCCTGCTGTGCTTACAGCTCAGTTGCAAATGTTCTGGTTATCTGCTTATTGAAGGTGTAGGATGAGTTAATATTTCTTCAAAAAAAAAAAATTATATGCCCTCCGCTTTCATGCTAAACTAGAATATTGGTTCATGTTGAATTAATATGCTAGTTATCTGGTAGTTTTTACTTAGAATATCATGGAAATAAGCCTCACATTTTAGACCTATAAGCATACGAAAGTTAGATGAATCCGCTGATAGCATTGTGAATTTGATGTTTATGTTAATGTGGTGATAGTGTCTTTCTGTAATTAACTATACTGACGCTTCCCTCGACAACAGATTGAAGCTTTGGCTCTTCTTCGCTTATGTGGTATCATTCGTTTCATTAGCAGCATCAGTGGGACTCTTGATACAAGATTCAGTAGTAAAAACAGGGCCATCAGTGTGGACAGGAGTCGCAGGAGTATTGCAGTGTGTGTTTGTGTTGGTTAGGTAAATTGGCCTTCCCCGTTTTGATCATCTTAATTCTTATTTCTCCCATCTGTCTTCTATTAGGATTTGTGCCAAAAACATGCAGCCACTTTTTATTATCCACTCCACCTAGTTTGTCGTGGAATCATTCTGCAAGGCACTCTATGAAAGAAAAACTTATGGGGTTCTTTCATCTTGATGTTTCTCTTGATTTTGAGCATGACCGATATAGTAACATCTATGTTCCACTCTCTCTAAATCTACATAAGATGTTTTAATCATGCCATAAACGAAGTTTTTGCTTGAACAGGGATAGTTTCTGTTTAGCCATCTGATGCTGAATCAATAGATGCCCTTAATATTTTTTGGTATTCATTGCATTATTTCTGTAGAAAAACAAAATCATTGGGGGGTTTCATCACTAGCACAAGTATCACGTATAACTAACCAATACCATCTCTCAGGAACATGATCTGTTTCTTTTTTGGAGGTTCTTATAATGTTATTGACCATTTATGTTTTTTCCTGAAATACTGTCTGTTGCAGTGGGTTGATTTACTGGACTTCTCACTCGGAGTAAGACGTAAGAGGCTGAAGAATTACCAACTTCATATAGCTCCAGTGGACTGCAGACTACAGTGTGAGTCATTTGTGTGTATCATTTGACTTTTCCAACTATGGAACCAAAGGGCTTTTCTACTTGTAAATGTCATGTTAATTTCAAGCTGAAACCATGTCTATATGTCTTTATGCATTCAATATAAGTGAGTCAGATATTCAATCTTTCAGCCATTTCAGCTTTGTTGGTTTCATTTTTGTTCTTTTTTCCCTTCAAAACTGCTGTGAATTGAAGAAAATGAAAATATATATATAAACTTCGATAAAGTTCGATACAGCCCGTTTACAATAAACTTCGATAAAGGCATTGTAATTTGAAAAAATACCAAGTCCATTTACAGGAAGTGTTCCCTTTTCATTTTGTTTTCTAAATAGAAATAACAAACAGATATTATACGTACATTGAACGGTTTCTATTGGATCGACTGTCGTTAATGTGATATACATTTATCAAGAGCTGCTATGGTCGACGAAGTGGCTGTAAAAGTGACGAATTAACTTCATCAAGGAACACTATTTGCTACAATTTTTAATGACACAAACCATCGGTTTTATAACGACTTCCATTAATTTTAGTGTTAATAAGATAACTGCAAGCTAATTAAAAAAGGAAAATGGAAAATAAAATAGTTTTCAAAGCCTAAAATTAAAAAATGAGTTGCAAAAGTGGCACTGAACCAATAATCTCTAAAATTAAATCCACTTATTTATGTGTAATTAGTGCAATTCAATGTCAAACAAAGCTAACACACTACCCAACATAATAAACCAATGTAATGCTGAACGAAGACAAACTTTTTTTCATTTTCCTTTGAAGAAGCAGCAGCCCTTTTTTTTTTTTTTTCTCTCTTTTTCTTTTTCATTTTGCAAGCAAATTCCAGAATAAAAAAACTTCCTCGAAAGTGATAACAAAGAACCAAAACAAAACAAAAAGATGCAATTTGCATACATCTTTTTCAGTGCAGACAAAACATTGGCCTGCCAAACCTCAGCAACTGCCCTTTTAAACACCGCAAAAATTCCCGCTGTAGAGGTAGGCAGGATGATGATTTGGGCAACTGTAACTTATTGCACTATTTGCACTGTTCAGTGTTCAATTAACATCCATCTCTTCTTCCAACCCCAACTCCTATCAGCATTTCTTTAAAACCATGAAAACAAAAAGAAGGCAAAAAAAAGAAAAAAAAAATTAAAAAGGTGAAGGAAAAAAAAAAGAACTAACCCCACTGCCTTAAAAATTGTGAACAAGAGCTTCTCATGGGTGAAAAATAAAAATTATTCAGGCTTCCGAGTCAGATGAGCTCAATTCAGAACCGGCTCCATCCTTGCTGTCCTCATGAGATTCAGACGGCACAGATATCTTTGGCTGAATGCTACGGCCCATTTTTAGAGATGGCTTCAAGCTCATGTACTGCAATCGGAATTAGAGCATGGGTTATAATTTACAACTTCATCAGCTGATAGAGACAAGAACAATATTTAGAAGTGGGGAGGGATTATTGAAAGCAATATAAGTATTTGTTCACCTCCCGATAGAAAGAATTGATCTCTTCTTCAGTAAGGCCTTCGTCCTCACCACAGTTCTCATCCCATCCAAGAGAACGAAGAAACGCAGCCTCCTCTTCATCTAGAGATTCAGCAGCAACGTGGGTCTCAGTTTTTTCACCACTGTCACAAGATGATCTAACCTCTTCAGAACTATCTCCATTTGTATTCTCCACAACACCATTTTCAAGAACATGAGGACTTGCAGGAGTGTCAATTTCTTCCCTTGTTAGTTCATTAGATTGGCCAATTGAAGGAGATTTCACAGAAGAGCATGAATCTGAAAGAACAGCAGAAGAACTCATTGAAGTTTTCTTCTTAATGAGGTTAAAGAAATCATTCCGACTCTGGACTTGAGATAAGGACGGTCTTTTTTCCAAAGTTGTTCCAGATTTGAGATCTAAGCTAGCCATCTTGCGCTCCACAGAAGCAACATTTGAATTATTCGGGCTTCTCAAAGGAGCATGTGGAACTGAAGGTGCAAGAGCGAACTGGCTGTTTGCATTACTAGTTGGACTTGAGACATCCTTTGCTGTAGGGGAGACACCATTTTCTCGTGCAGGTTTTAAAACAAGAAACTTCCCATGAGAACTCTTTTGAGCATCGGACTTGACATGTCCTCCACGAGATTGGTTGGCATGGACTGACGAGGGCAGGGGCTGTCCACCCTTGACAGTAACATTAAGTTCTCCAGTTCTTGATGCTAATTTGGGCTTTGATTTATCAGACGAATTAAGCGCCTGTCGAAATACAAACAGAAAAACAAAAACGTTAATGATTATCTAAAGGGAAGAAACAGGAGATTTGCAGTCAAATATAATAATCAGAGATATATTACTATATTCATATTACAAGGGTGGAGAACTTTATGGATTCATTTTATCAAAATTGCTTCTAAAGACAAATCTTCTAAAAGTATCTCGAAAGATATGGTCTGTGTTTGAATTCCCATTTATTTCTTCAAGTATAAATTTAAAAATAACGTATTTAAATCCAATTATACTTTTCAAAGATTAAACGATTATTGATCAGGTGTGAATAAATTAATTTAGAACATTAAATAAAACACTACAAAATAAAAAAATTCATCTTCTACTTTTTTTTTTTTTTTTGTTCCAAGTCTATATTAAGAATTATACTGCTAAGCAAGTTTTACATCACCATACTGAAACTCAACCATAATTTACATCAGCTTCAAAAAAAAAACAAATAGAAGAACAAATTGGAACCTTTCAGAAGAGGAAACCTCAGTTAAGTTATAACTATTGATACTAGAAAAGGGGTTGGCAATCTGTTAACAGCTTAACAATCTTTCAGGTAAAATTTTAACAAAATGATAAATAATAAGACTTGCCTACCAAATATAACACGTTAACAAACAAAATACCAGACACCAGTAACAAATTGGCTACAGCACAATAATCAAATGAAGAGAGTTAATATGGAAAGTTCACACTTCCCTTATAGCCTATTTAATCTACCACCGGCCTTTTCTACCCTTGAGAGAGAATAAAAAGTGGTAAACCAAAGATAACCCAGTCTGCAAAATGTCAAAGAGGCAAAGCACATGTGCGCATACTATGAAATTGGATCCAAAAACAATTCTCATCATCTCTTTCCTATCATCTAGTTTCTACAAATTTCCAAAAAGGTGGTCAGGCAGGAAAATAAGGACAAACCCCTTGAAGAATTTAAAATAACCCTTTCTTAAATGAAAGAATGCATTAGATGATGATAAAGCCCTCTGGCACCCTTTTTCTGGGAAAAACTAGTATTTATCCTTTCAATCATCCTTAAATTGAGTTTCAGATCAAATAAAAGGGGGAAATGTGGCTCATAATCTAGCACATCATAAATGACTTTGAACCAGAAACTTCTAGCAAATGCTTTGAGTTCCACTATCTAACACATACACAATGTTCTTAAGTCAATGTGTGAAGAGATAGAATACTTGAATTATAAACTTCCACGAAAAATTCTACAGTTTCTAAAATGTTGAAGCAGAGTTTATTTAACAAGTTAAATCGAAAAATTTAATTCACCAGACGCCAGCAGCAGGTGCAGAAAAATATCAGAACAATAACTAGTATTCTTCTCGCATAGTTTTCATTATATTTTACCAAAAAATGACTATTATCATATGTACTTCCTAAGTACCTGATACTACGACACAAAAGCAGCTGTGAAGAGAGTATTATTAGTCTTATATGAAATCAGCAATCGACACAAGTTGTGAAGGTACCACATAGATGGTTCTCAGTTCTCTTATTTTTAGTACCAACCTTTTCATTTTTGAACCAACAATCACAAAAAAAAAAAAAAAAAATTAAAATATAAAGAGGCAGGAACAAATCTATCCAACAAAGATTCAACAATTGCATTAGCACCAATTACCGAAGCTTTTGGCATAGAAGGTGTCACCGGTATTAATTGCCTGGACTGTTTAATAGCCAATTCCTCAAGCCTCTGGGTCTTGACAGATAACTACCAAAGTGAGGGGTAAAACGATGAGACTGTTAGATAAAAAAATGCACATAATATACAGCAGAAGAAGGTTATAGAAGGGTACCTCAGAAGCCTGGGGAGCAGCACGAGCTCGAGATGGAGCCTGCACCAGCGCTTCAGCCATATTTAGTCCAGCTGTCACACTCAGAGGCCCTGCCCCTGATGTAGCAGGAACAGTTTGTTGAAATGACGATGACCCTGTGGTACTTCCAATCATACTGGGCACCTCAGCAAGGGCAGACGTCCATCCCTCTCCACCAACAATTAAGGCCGAATTCCCAATTGGTAAGCTTTGAACTGATGAGCTCAAACCAGGAGATGAAACTCTTCCAATTTCTGATGCTCCTTGCTTTTCTTCAGATCCCAGTGATGGAAAATCCTTTTCAAATACAGCTTTCTGAATGCTACTACCAACACTAATTCCAGGAGGCATTCCATTGCTGCTGTTGACACCAGCTTTCAAATCTGTTGCAACTCTTCGGTGAAACAACTCATCTTGCTTCCTGGATACCATAGAATGGGAGCGCCGCAAAGCATCTTTATCAACCCTGTTGGGAAGTAACTTTCCCAGAGGGTCATGAGAGTCCCGGTCCCAATTATCCCCAAAGTTAAACCTGTCCTTTTCTTTCTCACGATCCTTATCACGATGACCCCTGTTAAAGCTACTATATGCATGTTTGGCAGAGCCATTGCTTGAACTTCTCCTTGAATTTGATGAAGCTGTCCGATCCAGAAAAGCAGGACGTGAAGTGTCAAAATCACCAGTGGTCTTTGAAGTTCTATTTCTCGGTTGAGATTGAGAAGGCACATCTAAACAACACAGGATATACATTAACGGTGTTCACAACATCAAAACAAAGGCAAGTCAGCAGTACGTGAAAGCATCTTTATTGAAAGCATGTAACAATAAACATATACAGAAAAAAGGAAAGAAAGAAAGAGTCAGTACCTGAGTGGGGCGAAGGCGACTGAAAATGGTGGTTTGAATTGCCGCCACCAGTAACGCTTCCAGTATTTCTCAACCATTCTGGAACTAAAGTGGGTTCACTTCTTTCCATAAGGAATACTGAACATGATCAAAATATCAGAAGAAAAAAACACTTCTTGCCTTCTTTACCACCTCAAATTTCCAGAAAACTTACTCCTTATGCAGAGGAATTTATAAAACCCTAGCCTGTACTTTATTATTTCGAATGCCTAACCTCTATTTATTTTGCGCTGAACGAACTTTCACGGGCATCCCTGACTATGCAAGTCACGACTACAACCCATATGTGTCATCAACTTCGTGGCATAACCAAGGTTCCACCAAAGATTGACCATGCGCAGTGAATTGCTTCAGATTTGCAAACACGCGCACGGGAGTGAACGCAGAAGATGATTCTCAAAATTTATGTCCTAAATGCCACAAAAGAAGTCAATCTTCTACAATTATCCCACTTCACGGCCACCACTATTCAAGCAAGTAACTACCAATTTGGCTACAAGCTGAACGCATTCTGAACGGGTTTTATCTTATCGTATGTGCAAAATCAACATAACCTAATTCTCATACGGGAATGGAATATCAGAGGATGAAACCAGAGGAAATAGCAGGGATATGATGAAGCGGTTCAATTAAAAAGAATGGTAAGAGGAAAGGCCTCACTATCGCTCCCGGCCTCGGTGTAGATTCGGTCAGCAAAACACCTCGAAACCCCTCGTCTTTGAGGGAATCGGTTAAAGATGCAGAGATATAAAGAAGGTATACCTGACGAATAAAGCAGTAGAGCAATTCCAAACCAGAAGATTGTCCCCGTCAAAACAGTTCGATCGGAAAAGGGAAAAACAAAATCAAAACCTAACGAAATAAGAAATTGGGACAACCAGAATCCGAACTCCGATTGAATGTGCCAAAAAAATTATCAGAAACCCTAAACCAAATATGCACCCTCCAAAAATTTTCCGCCGAGGTCCAAACCGCAAGAGTAATAACAACACACGAGATAAATAATATAACCTGTGAGATATCCGATGAAGACGAAGAACTAACCCTACCCTCAAACTGATTGACGAACCCCAGAAGTCGCAACTGTTTTAATAACTGCCCCCACTGGTTGCTGTATATTCCCAAAACAAAAAGAAATGCGTCTGAAGAGGGCAACAACAAAATCTATATATATAGAAAGAGACTGTGAAGAAAGAAGCGGCGGCGGAGAGAGAGATAGAGAGAGAGAAGGGAAGGGATAGGGAATGAGAGAGAGAGAGAGAGAGAGGCTTGGGTGTTCAGAGCAGCGAATAGGGTTTTTGTCTGTTTGTTCGGTTCGGCTCGGTCAGCTTCAGCCCCCCTGTGGTGGCGGAGAGAACGGAAACCGGCAGAGAGAAACGCAACGGCGGAGAGAAAAGATGAAGCGAGCGTGTAGGAAGGCCGGAGAGGGGAGACGGCGAATGTGATAAAAGAAAAAAAAAACTCGTCTTTGGCTTTCTTTGACGCTCTGAAAATCAAACAAACGTCTCTACAGTTGAATTCCCCTATTCTTCTCTTCTCTCAGGGCAACAAATCGAAATCTTTTTCCTTTTTTCTTTTTTCTTTTTTTTCTTTTTAATTATTATTATTATTATTATAAATATATTTTGATATCTTTGGGCTCTCAGAAAAAATTCAATAAAAAATTCCCCCAATTTTGTTAGTGCTGGGGGCGATTTGCTGTGACTCGGTGTATGGTACATTGTAGGTAGCCCACATATTTCATAAATGCCTTTTTTTTTTTATTGTTTTTTAAAATAAATTTTAATTTATAAATAATTAAAATATAATTACATTTTCTTCTCAGGAGAAATAAAAATTAATAAAGTAGTAATCACATTAAACGTCGGTTTAGTTATATTTTATTTCTTCAAAAACACATGGTTTGCATTTATCTTTTTTTTACCAAATATTTCAAAGACTAAATAATTAAATACTTTTTAAAAATTATTACGTTATTCATATTTTTTATATCAGGTTTCATATTTATATTAAAAATATTTGAATTATAAGCCAAATTTAAAAATAAAAACTTAATTTTTATTTTTTTAGTATTTATATTATATCCTTCCTTTAAATTTTTTACCTACCATCACTCGTTACCCATCTCAATATGTCCTTTACATTTATTTTGAAGGTAAGAAGCTTAAATGAATGGGTTTGACGATGCATTATTTCTAAACTTACCTTCTACCCAAACAATATATATTTAATACACGTCATCAATTAATTACATTGAAATTTTGGTTAAAAATATTAGAACATATCACCATTTTAAGCGTTATTTTTTACTAAATTAGTCTCTAGGTTTAAAATTAAATTAAACAGTTTCAATATTTCATAAATTCACGATTTTTTATATGACATTTTTAAATATAAAAAAAAAATATATGGTTAGAATAATAAATTCCAATAGCATAAGCTCTAATAATTATCTGTATCAGTTAAGATAGTATCTCTTATTAACCAATAACAACAACAATTTTTAAACATATCTTTGTCTTGTAGCCACCCTTTTTCGTCCACCTCCAACTTTTCCTCCTTGGTAGCCGCCTCCTCTTCCTCCTCGACACAAATAAATAAACAAAAAATCTTAAAATACATCTGCAAAAATCATCGGCATAAACGTTGCTCATGCTTTGCATCGATAGAACTAGAAGTGTACTTTTTTCGAGGCAATATGCATCAGCAAAACCCTAAACCTAACATCTTATATCATTTTGTGGAAAACATGTTTTATTGACATAAAAGAACTCTTTTTTTAATTAATTAAAACCTCAGGGATAAAATAGTAATTTACTCTAATATTATTCAACCAATTTCATTTTTAATTTTAAAAAGTTAAATAATCGGGATTTAATTTAATTTTAAAAGAGAAATAAATAAATATATATTTGATGTGCATGCATGGATAAAGGGGTAATGGGCATTATGTAGATGCATGCATGCATGCATGCATGTACGGAAAGGCGTTTGGATCATGTGGTTCTCTCTCATTTGGGAACGCGTTACGCGTGGAAGGAACCGTTTGATATTTTCTCGTACGCCCAGGACCAGGAGTGCCTCTAAAATATTTATTTATAAATTTATATATATATATATTGCCGTCCCTCTGCCACTCACGTGACGTGTAGTCACCCACTATTTCCCTCTCTATTCTCAACTTTCCCTTTATATCCTCGGAAAAGCTAAGGAAATTCCTTTAAAAAGAGAAACAAGAATCTAATATTATTATTATTTTTCTTTTTTTAATTATTATTATTATAAGTAAATTAATTATTTCTTCAAATTAATAAAAATACATCCAAACTTTATATTTTGATATTATTAAATAACAATAATAATAATAATAATTAAAAAATTGATATTCCTATTTTAACGGTATACGAAGTGCAAGGACTTAATTACAAAAACGGTGTCTCCTTTCAAAAAGGCCTCCTCGAGTCAACATTTGTTGTCTATTTATGAAGTTTATTTCATCAATAAATGCTAAGTATCAAGACCAAATTTAATAAATATCTTCATTCATATAATTATTCTAAAATAAAAACGAAGTTTCCTCAACATAATTTCAAAGAAATTTCAGGAAATTCGTTCAGTAGATACTCAATTTATAATTTATGACATATTTATTTTTCGATATTTCTTATTTATATAATTTTTAATTTTTAAATTTTACGTATCCAAATTTGGAATATCGAGTTTATTAATTAGTCTATGAAATTTAAAATTTTAAACTATTTTCATTTTTATACTTATGAAATTGCTAGCAAAATCTTAGCCGTAAATGATTTGATAATGTTTTGATAAAATACAATATTTAAGAAATAATCCATGGTTTTTATGTAATTATTTATTGGCCACATGACATCTTTGAACAATTCCTCTTTGCACTCTGTCCTTTTCCGTACAATTTTATTAGCTTTTTAAAGAACACACAACCTTTTTGAAATTTGAGAATATTAATTAAATAAATTATTGACATTTTTTTTTGGTGGGATAATTATAATTGTTATTATATAAAATATATAATAATATAATTACAGTCTGTAAATTTATGACTGTACTATTTAATTTTAGTATTTTATTTTACTTTTAATAAATCTAATACTTTTTAATTTTGAGTGTCTGTATCATTAAAAATATATATATATTTTTAAATTTATTACGGTAAAACTTTGAAATGTGTCAACATCTTTTATAATATAAAACATAAAACTTAAAATAAAAAAATAAATGTGTTTAAAAAATATCTATTAATTTTAAAATATTTAGAGATAATAAACATATTTTTTTAAGAGTTAATGTTACTTTTAAAATTTTAGGGATATTTTAAAAATATAGTCTTAGTAATAAATATATTTTTAAAATTTAAAAAAAAAAAGCGTGTATTTTATTGATTCTAATAATTGTTTTTTAATAATGATTATTAAACATTTTTTAAGATTTAAAATACACTTTCACTTTATAAAATACCAATTTCGTGTCACTTTTCGTTGATTAAGAGAATCTATAAATAAAATAAATAAATCTTCCTATATCACTTTAAAAATTTTCAATTTATTTAGAACTATTTTTAAAATTTCGCTTTAAAAATATATTTTAACAAATTAAATAATAATAAAAAGTCAACAAAGCACCGTCCTTTTTGGGCATTGCACCAAAACACAACGCATAGCAAATGATCCGTAATTTATTTCATTATTGCTATGGTTTCATTAAACAATAATGATCTTTACAACTATATTGGTCCACCGTTTATTTATGTCATTTTGAGGGTAAAAATCTTAAAACTATATATATATATATATAACAATCATTGATCTTAATATATAATATTATATAGTATTGAAATTTTGAATATAATTTTGATTTGTTTTTTAAATTTCAAAATTGAGTTGAATTTATTTCATTTAAATTTTAAAATGTTACATTTTTATTTATATTATTTAAAAATAAAAACTTCTCTTATACATTTTAAAATTATAATTTAAATAAAAAATTCATTAAAACATTTACGACATATCTAAATATAATTATTTTACTATGAAGATAACCATACTATTTGTCGCAATATATTCTAACATAATTTTAAAATATTATTTATGAACCATTAAAAATAATATTAAAACTGTTATTTAAGTTAAATAAAAGCCGTCATTCAACATTAAAATCATAAAGTTTTAAAACATTATTATTTGTGGTGGATTAATTGAGATGGTTAGAATCATTAATTAATTAAGTTACTTTAATTATAATTATTTATATAGGAGAATCTAGGAAGAGATGAATCTAATCTAAATAACAATAGTATCGATTTATTTATTTATTATTATAAGAGATAATTTTATATTTTGTAAAATTATAAATAAATATCTATATTTAAAACCTTTAATTTTTTTGTTTTAAAAAATTGTATTTATTTTTTATATTAAAAAAAAAAAGAAAAAAAAAAGGAGTAATGACGGTAAGCTGTGAAGCAAGTGGACACGTCAGCGAGAGGGAGAATGAATCTGCTGACTCGGTATCGGACAAGCAACTAAAGGGAGGCCCCTCCATCCCAATTCGCCAGCCAATCGCCGTCGGCTCGGCTGTGTTTCTGCTACTCTCTCTTCCACGTAGCACCGCGTTTTTTTCTCTCTCCCGGCGTTTACCAGTCCAATTCAGTCCATCGTTCAACCCTTTTCTATCTCTCTCTCTCTGCGCCCTTTTTTCCCAGCTTCCCTTCCTCAAACTTGGAGGCTAATCCCATTGCTAAAATCGAGGTAGATTTTCCCTTCTGAACTTGTTATTTTCGTTGTGGGGGTGATTTGATCGGGGAATTCTTCTTGCCGTTGCCGGTGGGATTGTTTAATGGGCTTAAGTCTCGATGCATCACCTGCCTCAGTTTTTCTCTCCCAGGAAGCGAAGCAAAGCCATGGATCCGAGGAAAATTGCAGGGAAACCCAAGCTTTACCGACTTAATGCGGCCAAGAACATCGACTATGACGCTGCTTACACGTCTTCTTCGTTCGATGATTCCTCTGGGTCTCTCTACACTCGCTCCATGGAGACCTTCAATCCCTCGAGCTTCCGGATTAAAGGGCTTGACGGTGAAGTTGATCTCATATGTCGGACTTTAGGGCTAGATGGCCCTGACGACTTCGCTATTCCGATGGAGGCTTGGGAGGCCAGGAAGGTTCGTTCATCTTCTGATATTCTACCGAGGTCGAGGCTGTATCCCGTGGATAGTCCAAAGACAGAGGAGATTAGTAAGGAGAAGGAAGATGAAGAAAACGAAGACGAATTGTGCCGGAGGGTTAAGGATTCAGTACGAATTAGCGATGAGATGTCCACGCTGAAGACTGAACTTCCCGAGTTGAATGAACGCTGTATGGATACTGTTACTGGACGTAGCCCGAGAAGTGGAATCAATGGTGCTCGGCCTCCCTTACTCAAGCCGCCGCCGTGTATGCGGCTTCCAGATTTTGATAACGCTTTCTCGACTTGGGACATTTTGAAAGCTTTTGC